AAAGGTCCCTCGTCACTGATGATATCACATCTGCAAACAGACAATGTTACTTCCTTGTTTGTTGGCTGCACTGAGACTACGAGAAATTAGAGTCAGGAGAACAAATCATGAATTGTCCCTGGGGGCAGCTGAGAGTTTGGAGAGGAACTCCCTGATCCCTCAGGAACCCCATCCCCACCCTCCTCTGCACCTGCTCCTGGGTCTGGTCTCTGTGATCTGTGGGTCTGGAGCGCCCCATGGTGGTTCTGAGTCCACACTGCAGCCCAGCTCCTCCTGTCCCCCTGCAGGGATATTTGTGTCTGGGCTCACACTGACTTCTCCTCACTGTGTCTTGCACAGTAATACACGGCCATGTCCTCAGTCGTCACAGAATTCAGTTGCAGGGAGAACTGGTTCTTGGACGTGTCAGCAGTGATGGAGATGCGGCCCTTGGTGGAGGGACCGTAGTTTGTATTTCACGATGATTTATAATAGTAACCACCTCCCAGCCGTTACAGCCCCTTCCCTGGAGGCTGGTGGATCCAGCACCAGTAATAACTGCTGATTGTGATGGAGAATCCAGAGACAGCACAGGCGAGGGAGAGGGTCTGAAACAGCTTCACCAGTCCTGGGCCCGACTCCTGCAGCTGCACCTGGGACAGGACACCTGGAGACAAGGAGAGTCAGTCCCTGTCAGTCACGTGCAGTCACAACCATCCCCACAGACCCGGGTCTGACATCTGAGACACTCACCTTGGGGAGCCGTCACCAGGCAAATGAGAAGACCCGACAGTCTCATCTCTTCTAGACCACAGCTCTGCCTTCCCCAGAGACCTCAGCCCTGTTGGAGGAAAGAGCTGTGAGCTCCCACAGCCAGAAAGTGGATTTTACCCTTGAGCTTGAAGAGAAATTTGCATGTGGGTAGCCCTGTCCTTATAAGTGGGGAAGGTCTTAGGTCAGGGTCCACAGTCCTTCCAGCGTCCCTGTAGCGCATCTCTTTTTTTTTAACCGACAAAACATGTTGGTCTCAATGGGCGAGTACATTCTTCATGAACTCGTTGTGGAAACAGGTCACAAGATGGTGTCACCTTTCTGAGCATAAGTATCAGTTTTGGACCAGATGAGTAAATCACATTTTATTCTAATCTCTCGTATTTTTCAATAGATATTAAAATGGGTTTAATGTCAAAAATATATAAAGAACTGATACAACTCAACAACAAAAAATGAACAAAAATGGCCAAAGCATACGAACAAACGTTTTTCCACAGAAGACATACAGGTGGCCAATAGGCACACAAAAAGATGTTCCATATCACTAATTAGTGGGGAAATGCAAATCAAAACTACAGTGAGATCTCAACTCACAAGCTACTTCCATGACACACTCTGGCCTGCCTTATTTCAGGAATCTAAGTAAAATTCACTCAGTCAGGCGTGTAGTGTCACGTTTAAAGACCATAGTAATAAACAGGTTTCTGACAAGCTGCCTGCTAGAGCCATTCAACATATTCTTATTTTAGTGAAACTAAGTTATAGTAATTTTTCCATGCATGCAATGATATGTACAAAGACACTTCTGTCCAAGATGTTTCTAACAAGCTGCCCATCAGAATAGCTATTATTAAAAAGACAAGAAATAACAAGTGTTGGAGAGGATGTGGAAAAAATCGAATCCTCATGAACTGTTGGTGGGAACGCAAAGTGGTGCAGCCAGTGTGGAAAACAGTACAGAGATTCATCAAAAAATTAAAATTAGAAATATCATATGATCCAGCTATTCCACTTCTGAATATTTATTCAAATAACATGACAGTGCTAATTCAAAACGATATATGCACGTCCATGTTCATTGAAGCAATATTCTCAATAGCCGAGATTTGTATATATGTATACAGTGGCATACTACTCAGCCATAAAAAACTATACAGATTTGTCATTTACAACAACACAGAGAAAACTTGAGAGCATGGTGCTAAGCCAAATAAGTCAGATATAGAATGATGAATAGGAAAGTAATGGCTTATGATGGAAACCAGATTTCTCACTGTTGGAGTGGGAGGTTCCAGACAACAAGAAGGAAGGCTGGAGAGCTCCCTGTGGTGTTTGATTAGGGTTGGAGACACCAGGAACTTCTCAAGTTTAGTTTAATATTGCTTCAGAAGATTAGATTCAGCAAAGAGGACACCAGAACCAAACCAAAGAAAGCAGAATACTTAGAGAAACACTTCTCTGAATTGTTGTGTGCAGAAGTGGTAAGATATTGAAAAAGATTTATGAATTGTACGCACTCCTATCACTAACAGATTAAGACAGTCATCCAGTGCATCTCTTTGATAGGCTCCTACAATCTCCAACCAGGAATTGTTGTCTATTGCAAGACATATTAGATAAAATTGTCCATGAATCATGGATAGAATCTCATCATGTATTTTTATACAACAGATGCAGCAGTGGAACTCCAAGGAGTCAATCCATGCATTCATGTTAGGCAACTGTCTTAATCTATGTGGGCTCCCATAACAAGTTACATTGACTGGGTGGCTCATAAACAGCAGACGTTTACTTTTCACTGTTTTGGAGGCAGGGAAGTCCCAGATCAATGCTCCAGCAGATGTGGTGTCTGTTGAGAGCCCTCTTCCTGGACAACTGTCTTTCCACTGTAGCCTCTCACAGCAGAAGGGGCAAGAGAGCTTCCTCCGTCCTCTTCTGTAAGAGCAGCAGTCCCATCCATGAGGGCTCCACCTCATGACCAAGCACTTCCCAAAGGCCCCACCTCTAATACCCTCACACTGTGCATTAGGTTTCAACATCTCACTTTTGGGGACACAAGCATTCAGCCATAGTAGCAACTAAAGAATCAGTTCATAATTCCACACGCTTGGAAGCCTACTCCAACAGAGCACCTCAAACAGAATTCTCATAGATCCTGGAGAAGCTTCTGATACTTGGAGGAGAAAGCAGACCCAAGACCTTCAGAACAAGCTGACGACCTTGGATGGTGGACAGCTTCCACCCACGACATTGGTCTGAGATCTCTATTTCCTTCTGTTATTATTTTATCATTACTCAGCTTGATTACAAATAATCGTTCTTCTCATGTTCTATGGATTCAAATTGATTTCTACTTGTAATTGTTATTTATCTCTTTTTTCATTCATTTTGATAGCTGTTAAGTGAAATAAGCAGTCAGAATAATTTTTGATGTTTGATGCTGATATATTAAGGCTCATCCCCTTCCTGTTCTCCTTCTGACCATACATGGGAAATCTTATAAGAAAGTATAGGTTCTCCATCCTTTGGTGGTGGAGGGAGATTGAAACCACACAAGCCTCTCCTATGAGCAGGACAATCCCCTCCCCCACCACTGAAATACAGTAAAAACCCTGAGCCAGTCTCCTTCCCAGTCTCTATAGAACCATTTCTGATGTGCTTGAAAGGGTTGCCCTTCTCTCAACACACATCTCAATAATGGAGATGATAAAACTTTTCATATTTTCTACGCATGTTTGTTTAATTATTATCCCAAACATCCATGCAAAGTTTGGTGGGGATCCCTCTGTCTTTGCATAGTGTCAATTGCTCTCGGTGCCATCAGAGTGGTGCCAAGTCAAGGACCATCACTACATGGGTTCTTTCTTTTATTGCTTTGGATTCGTAAATCCTCTGTTGCCTGATGTCCAGCCTGCACTGTATGCTGCTGCTTGCTGGCTGGTTGTACACTGAGCTGTGCTGTGCTGCATTGTTGAGTCCAAGTGAGCCCCTTTTATAGATTTAGCAGAATTATATCATAAGCTTTGTACTAAATTGGCATTTAGACACAAGAGTGTCTGTAAGAGACTCTCTGCCTTCTGTCCATGTGAGAATGTTTTCCTTCTATTACAACAGACTTTTCTGATTCAGAAAATACAAAGGTAAGCAGAGAATTGCATATTCAGAGACGTTGTCTTGAGGAAACTCTTATATGAATAGGAAGCCACTCCAAGAATCCAGCCCTTAACCTCCACCTGCACCTGCCTCTGTGATGGTCCTTGATTGCAGGGTCTGAGCACCCCCTGGTGGTCCTGAGCCCCTCCTGCAGGGAGGTTTTTGTCTGGGCTCACACTGACTTCCCCTCACTGTGTCTGTTGCACAGTAATACACGGCCGTGTCCTCGGTTCTCAGGCTGTTCATTTGCAGATACAGCGTGGACTTGGAGCTGTCTATGGAGATGGTGAATCGGCCCTTCACGGAGTCTGCATAGTTTGTGTTACTACCATCACTATAAATGTTTGAGACCCACTCAAGCCCCTTCCCTGGAGCCTGGCGGACCCAGTACATGTAGTAGCTACTGTAGGTGAATCCAGAGGCTACACAGGAGAGTCTGAGAGACCCCCCAGGCTTCACCAAGCCTCCCCCAGACTCCACCAGCTGCACCTCACACTGGACACCTGCAAACACAAAAACATCCTGGTCAGGAAACTGTCACACATCCACTGTTTCTCTCATGCATATCCTCTCATATACTCAATATCTGTATTTCTCCATAAATTACCTCTTAAAATGGCAACAAGGAAAACCCAGCTCAGCCCAAACTCCATGCTGAGTGCTCTGTGTTCAGTCTTGATCACCAAATGTGAACACCTGGGAATCCTGAAGCTGGGGCTCCTCTCCAGATCTGCAGGGTTGAGGCTGGGCTGGTTTTCATCAGCAGAGGGAGGGTCCTATTTGCATATCCTCTGACTATACAGCAAGCTCTGGGCCCGGAATTCAACATAAAGGGCAGAGTCCCAGAGTGTGATGTGTCCAAAGGCACAAATCTGGTGAGAATTAGCCCCATTTCTTGGGCCTGTGCTCCTCAATACTAGACCCGACTGCCCCCCCTGAACCATCTCCAGGACAGAGTTGGGCAGGCCTAGTGAGGTTTGGATAATCCCCTCCCTGTAATGAGAACATATGTGAAGTTTATGCATTCTACTGTTTACCTAAGAATGTATAGTGAAACAGTGCAGATGTATTATCAGAACTCCCTGAAATTTCACATTATTATTCATCTGCCTATAACACTTTCCAATAATCCATTTTTTACACACAATAGCTTTACCACTTAATAAGTGACATAGTAAACTGCAGAGTACAACAGCGTAAAGACATTATCCAAATCTGCGGGTATTTTATATGTCCTGAAGCAAGGAGCACAGTACGACCAGTCCCACCTGCTTTCCTTCTAACTGGCATCATTCCAAGTTACCCACTTGTGGACGCTGTGGTGCAGCCCATCTCACTTAGAGTCTCATATGTGAGATAAGCAGGCAGGTAAAGAGCCACCTTTAGAACTCCTCAATTTTGAGGACATATGGACAAGTTCAAACCTGAATACGTAACTGAGTGAATAATAACTAAATATCTTGGTGTGTGAACATAGAAAAGGTAAATGCAAGTATATGTTATCAGTCACATGGTATTTAATGAAATGACCTTCTGCCATGGTTCTAGGGTAAGAAAACTAAAACCATCCCTTATTTCTCTTCTTTGTCACCTACCAACCGCCAATGAACTGGAAGCTCCAACTTTCCATTATTCCAAAATAGATCCCAAATTTATTTTAAAAAAGATACCAACTCTGCACAATTACATGATCCATCCTTACCTGCCCTACAGCATCTCCACACCACATCCCCCTGTGGAAATATTCCACTGCATCCTCATCATGAGATACTGAGGAGAAGACTCCTGACCTCACGTCCATCTCCTTCAGTCCCAGACCCCAGTGTGTCCCTCTCCTGAGCCTGCAGATGCTGAGTTACGTGAGCAGCTGGGTGGAGTGAGGGGGGATGTTCTCCTCTTCATGGGGTGGATGAGCATGAGGGTCTGGAGACAAAGATGCACCTGGAAAAGGGCCCACAGGCTGCAGACCCTGTAAGAGTGGATCCCGTGTAAATGTTGACATTGGTGCCCTCACCCCTGAGTGTGCTCTGGCTCCCTGAACTTCAAGAAGACCAACAGGACTGAAGAGTTGATACGATTCTTTCCTGTCACTGGAACTTGGAGATACTGAGAAGCCTTGAGAGAGAGACAGGGAGCTGATGGAGAGACTGAGGGCTTTCAACAACCACAAGGGCCATTTATACACGGTCTCTCTACATAGACATCAAGGGACACCTTAAAGAAGACAACATAATAGAATAATTAGTCAAAATAAATTAAATTCAGAATACCTGAGATGAGTAAGAATACTCTTATTTAAGATTAATTTGCTCCTCTATGAAATGGAGATCAATTTACTTCTAAATTCATAGAGTTATTGTCATGATTATAAAAGTTAAAATTATATTAGTTCCTGGTCCTTGGCCAGATGGGTTATTGCAAATGTGACATTTTATTCTTAAAAGGGAGGACACCTCTGTGTTTCCACAGCTTTTAGGAAACTGTTTGTACTGTGTGCAGGTCGGGAAGAGGTTTACAGAACATGGAGATAAAAACCCTTGACCGAGTTTTTATCCTTAACCCGCCTCCTCTGTGAGGCATGAGCTCATTAGTTCCTCAGTGCCCCCTGGTGGTCTTGAGTGATTCTTGGTGTTCCTGAGCACCCTGTGCTGCTACTGGGTGCAGCTTTTGTTTCCAAAGTCTCCTGGAGAGAAATAGACACTCTGTTTCCCCCCTCCCCTTTATCCAACATACAGTGGAGGACACTCCAGCATAAGCACTACATGCCTTCCTGTTCAAAGGATGTCTCCTCTTAGTTCCTATCAACTGACCCCTCACTCTGCTCCTTGGCTGTAAATCCCTGAATGTCATTGCTGTATTCAGAGGTGAGCCCTGTTTCTCTCTCCTCCTGTAAACTCCCTATTGCAAGAGTCTTGAATAAAGAGTTTGTCACCATCTTAGCAAGTGTCAGAAGGACTTTTTTGTGATAAACGGAGAGAGAACAAAGTGAAGTAAAGTTTTTGAATCTCAAAATTCTACTGGCAGAAAGCAGGCTGATAAAAGACCTCATATTCAAACATGGGTCACCTTCAAGAAAAAGGAAGAGTAGATCCAAGGTTAGAACAAGCCCAGGGGTTGGGGTCTGAGCCACAGAAGATTATCATCAGAAGATGAAACCTCATGGAGTTTGCCTGGGTGGATTTCAAAGTCAGTTCAGGCTGGTGATTCCTTCTAACTCCAATTTTATCTCTGTTGGAATGGAAATATCCATACCTGTTATCATACGCCTGCCTGCAGTTGTGTTTTAGAAGAAGAAAACTTATTTTCTACTATCAAAGGCCTACAGATGAAGAGGGTTTTACCCATGTTGGATCATCGCCTAATTCTCACCCATATCTAATTTAAATGATTGCATTTGGGACTTTTGAGATGATGGTATTTAGATGGATTATGGACTTGTGTTAATGCTTTAAAGGGTTGGCGCTCTGGGAGATGTTCGATGTTAAATATAATTGACCTAGGGTGGATGTAATTATTTGAGGGCTGAGAGTGCACTGAGGTAGTGTGAATCATTCTTTGAATCTGTGGGTGGTATTTTGTATGGCAAAAGGAAATTTCCCATGTTGGATTAATTTAGAGATCCTGACATCCAAAGATGTTCCTGAACTAATTAGAAATGTATCACAAGTGTTTATATCAGAGGGACACAGAGGGATACTAGACTACAGAATAAGAAGAAAACAGTGTGACCACTCATGCAAGGTCATTTATTCCTGGCTGTGAAGATGGAGGAATGGGCCATGAGTCAGGGGATGCAAGGAATTCAGCTCCAGAAGCTGGAAAAGGCAAAAAAAAAGCACTTTCCCTCTCTGAGTCCATTCAGGATCTTATAGCAAAATACCAGAGACTGGGTAGCTTGAAAAAAACAAGAATTTATTTCTTACAGTTCTGAAGGCTGGGAAGTCCAATATCAAGGTATCAGCCTGGTTGCCTTCTGGGGAGGGGCCTCTTCCTGGCTCATAGTTGGCACCTTCTTGACATGTCGTCTTGTGGTGAAGGGACAAGCGAGCTCTCTGGTGGCTCATTAGAAAGGAAACAACCCCATATATGAGGGCTCCCTCTTATGAACTACGCACCTCACAGTGACCCCATCTACTAACTCCATCATCTTCAGTGGTTAAGATTTAAGACATGAATTCCAGCAGGGGGGTTGGTGAACACAAATATCCAGACAATAGCACTCCTCTAGAGCCTCTGGAGGGAGCGTAGGCCTGCCAACACCTTGATTTCAGGCCAGTGAAACTGATTTCAGGCTCTGTCCTCCAGAGAAAATAAATGTGTTGAGAATAAATGTGTTGATTTGATCCCCAGGTGTGTGGTAATTAGACACCATGATCATAGGAAACGAATTTCTCCCCAGGGAAAAGCAGGCATCTTTGCTGGCTTCCATTCAGCCTCATCAGGTTCTAAAAGCTGTGGTGATCTTGGAAAAATGTGGATGTACCCTGTGGGCATCAGCTTTACGCGGGCTAAGAGACAATGTTCTCTGGCTCTGTGCCTCTCTCAAGGCACCAACATACTATTGGATGTTCCTCCTTGCATAACACATCCAATCACCTACCAACCCTCAGCCACCATTTTTGCTTCCCTTGATTTGACATGGATTTTAACCCCAAATTTCCACCTTTGGAAAGGATGGGACAGATACCCACTGGAAGCAATTCCAGTCCAGTAAGGTCCTCCCGCTCTGCCCACTCCATCCACATGGGGTATAGTTACACAGATACGGAACAAATGGTCTATCTTGACCACTAGGCAGTGGAACTGCATTCACTGGTGACCTCAATCCTGTCAGAGAGAGTGAAGGTGCAATACCTCCCATGAGGATCTTAGGATTTCTGATACGAAGGTTTAAAATTATACTATAGTTTCTTGCTTAAGAACCATCCTTTAACTGGCATCCACATCAGAGAACAGAAGAGAGAGTTGAGGTGGTGTGGGGAGATTGTGCAGTCATACCAGCATCCTCCCCAAAACCTCCCTCACGAAATCCCCTGGAAAAGTGGAGGAATCTATTGAGTGTGAACCCTCTCTTGAACTCCATCATGTAGAGACGAGGACAATATCGTGGATCATTATCAATGTCTCGGTCTGTCTTTCTCTCTTAATAATCCATTTGTCTTTTGTAATAGTTTTAAGGAGATATAATTCACACGTCTTCCATTAAGCCAAATTATAGATAGTCAACTCCTGATCTTTGTGTTACTTTAGATTAGTTTTCATTTACTGAAATGTATATAAATGCGTCATGCAGTGTGAACTTTATTGGTCCGTATTATTTCACTCGAGAACATTGCTTGTGAATACAACCATTCTGTTGTGTGTCAAGCATTCAAAGTTTGTAATAATGGGAAGTATTCCAATGAGTAATTGTACCACAATATGTTTGTCTATTAAGCTTTTGATTGATGTTTGGATTGTTTCCAAATGCTTGGAATTACAAATATAACTTCTGCTCAGCTCTGAGATGACACAGCTGAGGAAAAAGTTGTCCCTCTTACAGCAACAACAACAACAACAACAACAACTGTACTGTATAAACTGCAAATTACTGACTTAATTCAACACATCAGATAATTGAAATTATAGTTCAAACAACGAACCTGAAATATGGATAGAAATGAGTGATTTTAAGGAGAAATAGCATGGAAATAATAGCTTATCTGGGGCAGACACCAGCAGATGGCTTATAAACTAGTACAAGAATAAATGAGAAACACTTAATAGATTTCTTGAAGTGGAGTATGGAGAAGGTGCTATAGTGTGATATTCTCAGGGGTCACATAATTAGGGAGATAGCTCGTCCCTTTAAAACCTGGTCCTCTAGGAATGGGGACACATCCTAAGTGTTCCTCACCCAAAATTGTTCTGTCTGGGAGAGAGGAACAGCACCCTCTGCTGAGATGCACCCAGACCCACCTCACTGATCACTAAGTACTAACTAATTAATGTTCAGGGAGAAAGCCGCCAAGGTGAGCATCCTGAGGCTGTAGTGGAAACCCATAGTAACTAGGAGAGGAACCGAGGAAACTACCAGAGGAAATTTTACCTCAGAGTATGGTGTATC